AGCTTTGTGTCATTGGCAAACTTGCTGAGATGCACTCAATCCCACTGTCCATGTCACCAACAAAGATGTTAAACAACACCAGTCCCAATATCAAGCACTGAGGAATGGCACTCATCACTGGTCTCCGCTTGGACACTGAGCCATTGACCCCAACTCCTTGAGTGCAACCATCCAGACAATTCCTTATCCACCGAATGGTCCATCCACCAAATCCATGTCTCTCCAATTTAGAGACAAGGATGCTGTGTGGGACAGTGTTAAAGGTTTTGCATAAGTCCAGGTAGATGAGGCCAGTTGCTCTTCCCTTAGCCACCAGTGCTGTAATCCTCTCATTGAAGGCCATCAAATTTGTAAGGCACAATTTGGCCTTGGTGAAGCCATGCTGGCTGTCATCAATCACCTCCTTATTTTCCATTTCCCTTAGCATTTTTATCAAGAGGATCTGCTCCATGATCTTGTCAACACAGAGGTAAGACCAGCCTGTAGTTCCCTGGGGCTTCCTTCTTCCTTTTTAAAAATGGGGGTTATCTTTCCCCTTTTCCAGTCAGTGGTAACTTTACTAGACTGCCATGACTTCTCAAATGTGACGAAGAGTGGCTTAGCGACTTCATCTACCAGCTACGTCAGGCCCCATGGATGCATCTCACCAAGTCCCATGGACTTGTGAACCTTCAGGTTCCTTAGGTGGTCTCACACCTGATCTTCTCCTACCATGGGTGGTTCTTTATTCTCCCATTTCCTACCTTTGCCTTCTGTGACTTGGGCAGTGTGGCTTGAGCACTTGTCAATGAAGACTGAGGCAAAGAAGTCACTGAGTACCTCAGCCTTCTCGACAACCCAGGTAACTAGGTCTCCCATTTCCTTCCAGAGAGGGCCACAGTTTCCCTAGTCAAATCTATCAAATTTGGCAAGCTTACAATAGTTGTTACTTTTTACATATCATTTTAGTATGTGAAAGCATGCAGAATTAAGGCCTGCTTCATATACAATGCATTTTTGGATGTGTAAGTGGGATGGCATGTCTTTCACTATATTTAAATTACCTGGAATATGCTATTATACTATTTTAATTAAGAGACTGCTTCTGACATCAATGATGACCACACTTGGAGTCATGGCAAATCTGTCACCATTGTGGTCATAACTAGAAAACATCTAGTAAATACTGCAGTATCATAAAGATAGGATTCTCCTTCCATTTTCAAACACTAAAGGAACTGCTCAAATAAAGCTGTCATACTGTATTTCATTTTTATTGTGAAGGAAAGGCCAAAATGCGTCCTAGCAGGCCAGTTCTCAGACATGGTTTGAATGTCATTGTGGGAGTAGATTTAACTGAAAAAAGGAAAGGTTTCTTATTTTTACAGAACTGTAAGACAATATAAAGAAAAAAAATACTAGTTTAAGCTCATGACCATTACTTCTAATAGATATTAAAAAAAATCATAAATTAAGCTTTTATCCATTTGACAAACTTCCACCTGCAACCACTAAAACAGTAACAACCTAATGTGGTGAGAAAGGAGAGGAAATTTTCTGCTTTATATGTACTACATTAGTTGCCCAAACTGATTGTAGAGTCTCCCTTCTTGGAGGTACTAAAAAGCTATCTGGACATGCTGTCACAGACCCATCACCCATGGATGATGTTGTTTATGTCTCAACAATTCAGACAGAACATTTCTAAAGAAGAGGTTCTACCATGTCTACTGACAGCTCCAGCAGAGCATAGTTGGAAGAAAAGGTTCTTTTGTGAACAGACATTAGCAAGTTGTTAACATTTTGAGTTAACACCTGTTGAGGTTGTGCATGGTTGCTGGGGACTGGAGAAGCAACCACCCCACACCCCTAAGGCAACCTGGATGCAGGGTTGTTGCCATCCCCAAAGGTCAACCTGGAAGGTGACCTGGATTCAGGGCCACTGCACCTCCCAAGGGGTAGTCCTGGACAGACTGAACTGTATAAAAGGTGAGCATGACCACCTACTCTTTGTTGACCTATCAGCCCATGAAACAAAATTTCTGCCCGAAGAAGACACAGCAGTAAGTAGTAAGTATGTTTTTGTCTATGTCTTGGTCTCTCTCTCTTTCTTTCTGTCCCCCTTGTTCTTCTCTCTCAACTCTTTCCTACTCTGTCTTCTGTCTGATTTTTAACTCCAAACAATTGAGCATTGTTTGGTGCTTGCTTAATTGGTAAGTGATATCTGGTGATAACTGACAAGTGTGAGTTGGTGCTTGACTCTGAGCAGTTGATTTGTGATGTTTTTGCTGTTACTGAGGTAAATAAAATTGTGTTGTATTGTTCCTTGAGTCATTGTCTGACTCCACATAGGCCATGCTCCTTTTTGGGGAACCACAAAAAAACCTCTCTCAGCCGTCCACTGTAGTGGGACAAGACACATGGTCCCTAACAACCAGCTCTAGGTGGACCTGCTTGAGCAAGGAGGTTGAACAAGATGACCTCCAGAGGTGCCTGTCAACCTCAACCACTCCACAATTAGCAGTCCACTACTCAAATCTTTCTTTACTTGCCAAGAATCACCAGACACTTCTGTAGTGAGGAAAGGAACCAAACGGCCATGATGCTATGGCAAATGAGGATGCCGATATTTAAACTGTTCAATACCAAAATACATGACCAGTAGCTTCCAATTTTGAGACATTTTCTGAGACTCAAAACAGCAGCTGAAGATGCACAAAACAGAAAGAAGGCAATGTCCTGATGTTCTGAAGTATCAGTTGAAATAGGGAGAGATTCTCCCCTCCTTTCCCCCATTCACATGAAAACATTTGGGTAGACAGCTGAAAGCAAAGATAGCTATCAGCTCTGAAGTAGCCAATATCTAACAAAAAATCAACCTTTGGAAGCTATTGGTCACCAACTGTGGAAGATGAGTATCTGATGACTGAAAATTAGTTTGGTATTCCCCTTACACCTGAAAAGGCAGCCCTGTGGTAGGGATAACTGAACACTTTGTGATTCAGCCTCTCCCTGCAACATGACAGGTTTTTAGTGCAGCTTAGACTTCACTAAACTAGAAAGGTTTGTAAGCTTTAATACATAATGCTGAAAGCTGTAGTTGCTCATAATTTTCTTCATTATCTATTTGGTCTTCCTTTCCATTACAACTACTACCAGTCACCATTCTTTCCTTCTAAAGTAAAGCACCATCTTCAGCAGCCCAACTTTTAATCTGCTATCACAGTGCAAGATGTATGTTTTTGTCTGTAACCTACAGTAAACCGTTACACAAGTTCTCGTAAAATTTACTTTCCTCAATTTACTAAACACCTTGAAATTCTTAAAACTTTTTATCACTGTATTCTACTTAAACAGAGAAAATAAACTGTTTAGAATGAATACCAATAAACAATCTTTAAAGATATGAACTACCAATATAGTAATTTGAATTTTTAACTCTGTAGACTGCTTTGCAGACACTAACTATATTAGAATATCTTTCAAAGGAATAACTAGACATACTCTTTTATAAAGATTATTTTTGTTTAAAAAAAATCTTCCTCATCAGTGAAGAGATGAGTAGAAAAGTACATGAAGACATGGACATACTTCAGATATTTAAAAAGTTCTGGAAAAGGACAGAATGTCTTGGAATTTAAATATGGAAACCACAGCTATTTAAGTACTTAAGTCGAAGTTCAAAACTTGGGCCCTTCTACTCCTCAGCTCTTTTGTCTATGTCAACCTTGTTCACAAATTGCTTGTTTGAAGGAAGGACACTTACAGAATGCATTTATACTATCAGAAGAGGAAGTTTACAAGAATGACCAAAAACCCCTCCCTCAAACTACCCAGAATCAATTTGCCAGCAAAAGCAAGACATTTCTCAACTGTTTCATTTCATCTGTTCAACTACAACATGACAGTTAAACTTTTTATGTTCATTAACTTCTTTACGTATGAAAGCTTTAGTCTTTAAAAAAAAATAAATGCATGTAGGTATTAAAAAAAGACATGTAGACATGCTGCTTAGGGACATGGTTTAGTAGTGGACTTGGCAATGTTAGGTTTATGGTTGGACTCAGTGATTTTAAGGGTCTTTATCAACCTAAATCATGAAATGATTCTATGACTTCACGTTACCCATCATTTCATCACCTACGGCTGCTAAACACAAGCTACTACAGTCTGATTTTACTGATAAAGCACCTTATTACTATCTGGAAGGTGAGACTGGTTTCTTATTTGTCATATTAACATGAAGTACCTTTGAACTGTAAACACTGTGCAACATTTTTTATGATCAAAGAGCAACCTAATTAGTGATTACCATGAATGATAAGCAATTGGTTTACACAAATTCAAAGGTGTCAAAACTGATTTCACTAGACAATGTCGGGAATAAACAAAGACCACCTTGAGTGTTCACACACCTTTTTCCAGCTAAATTTATTCATTCAATAATAACAACTTCCCTTTCTATATATTGTGCTGTTTATTTAGCTCATCATATTTACACCATGAGCATAATCTTTAACCACTCTGACAAAACCTCATTAACACTGTAAACATTAAAAAAAAAAAAGAAAATCAGCATCAAATATAAGCTACTTTTATTCCACTACATGGTGCATTTAAAAAGGATCAAAAAATTGTCAAGATAACATGGAAAACCTATGCTGTTGCCATCAATTCACTTTGATATCTTTAAAAAGCATATCTACTTTGCACCCACCTCACTATGGTATACTTCTAATGTGAAGATGTTATGATACAAAAAGCTACACCTCATCTTTCTTTTACGGATATCTAAGAAAAATAACATAGTTATTTGCTGAGACATGACCATGATGGTTAGAGACTCAGGGAATCTTACTCCTGTAAACAGTATTTCCATAACAAACTGTAATTTGGCACAGTAGACAAAACGTGCAGTTGTTAATGACTAGACTGAGAAAAATTACAACTTGAAAACAAGATGATTTCAGACAAATGACAGCTGTTGAATTCTTGTTTCTTCACTTCAAAGGCACACATACCTTTTCCTAAATGTGTATTTATACTCATGTATCTAGCTGTTCCTGTAAGGCTCTTGTGTTCTCGATATGGTATGTGCTTCTTGGTTTCCGGATCTATATACTCCTTTGCCAAACCAAAATCTATAATATGAATAATTTGCTGGGTTTTGTTTCCAGGTCGTCCTATTAAGAAGTTCTCAGGTTTTACATCCCTGTATATCAAGTTCTTCGAATGGACATACTCCATACGAGAAATCTTTAATAAAAGAGAAAAACAACAGAAAGTTTAGTTTAAGCTTCAGGTTGCCACATTAAATTGTGGTAGAAGCTAAATATCTTACATTGACTTTATATTAATAGGAAATCACCCCTCCTATCGCCTTAAAAACAAAGGGCTATTACTCTTAACAAGGTATCTCCCAGTCAAAGCCAATGAAAACTGTGCATATCCCCTAAGCAGACACACCACATGGTGTATTGGAAACTTTCACACTGGACATTAGATATGAATCAGTATATAACCGAAGTTATCTTCTTTAAGAAAAGCTGGCATAAAATATATTTTGTGCAAATTAAAACTATAACCAACAATTATGTCAAAGAGTGAGCAGCAAATTTAAATGTAGGTCTATTACACATTAAAGGTATAAACAAGATAAGCATGGAAAGTTCACCACTACGCATATAACTTCTACTCTAGCTGGATCACTTTCTATCAGAATTTATATATTCAGAAAGGAACACCAAGATGAACTCTGTATTTGTGATGACTTGAGCATTTTAAAAAATAAACTTTGTAATTTTGGCTGTAAATAAGCTGCATATGGCTATATGTCTATAGTTGCAAGCCTGTTATACAACTACAGTCATGTTTTAAACAGCTATTTTTACCCTTCATGGGTAAAAATTTCGGAAAGTGGTTTAGTATCATTAATATTTTATAAGGTCTTATTTAAAACACACTGTATCAAGGCAAACATGCAAAGCCTTATTTTGCCTTTTCTCTTTCCACTTCCACACACCCTCAGGTGGGAACCAAATGAAAAAATCCTCAAGAAAAGGGAAAAATTCTTCAAAGAATAATTTTGTGCTATTTTAGTATTTCTGGAAGGGTCTGGGGGATTTTTTTTTGATTGTTTGTTTCCTTGCTTTCTTTCCAGGGATGCCTAGGAAAATATTTATGCTATTTAGGAGTCCCATCACCCAACTACTTTCATGGATTAAAAGTAATTTTATTTCATGAAGGTTTTCTTTTTAAATACGTTAAACTAAAATTCCTTATTTCAGGTTGTAATTATGAGAATTCAGAAGACACAATTAAACTACATTCATGCAATGATTCTAGAAAAAATAGAAAAAGTAAATGAAAGTGACATGACAGTTTTTCTGCTAAGACAGTATCACAGGCTCTTCAGAAGCCAGAAACATCAATTTAAAACATGGGAAGTGCAAATCTCTTAAGTGAAATAAGCATTTAACACATTGAAGATTGACTTAGTTATTCTAATGAACACTAAAAGTAACACCTATTCTACTTACCAACTGTATGGCTATCATAAGAACGGTTTTAAGAGAAAATGTCCTACCACACAAGTCAAATAAATCTTCCAGACTAGGTCCAAGTAGTTCTAGCACCATAGCATTATACTTGCCACATGGGCCAAAATAGTAAACCTGAGGTATTCCATCTGTAAAATGAAGATACAAAGGAATTATAAGAGGTTAAATAAGATTAATGAACATACCAATAAAATTCCTACCTGATTTCAAATTGTTCTGAAGTTAAAAACACATTGTTTACACAAAAGCAACAATAAAACCTCATAAAAATTACAGGTAAAAGATACAACAGGAGTAATGAAGGTAGTACCAGTTTCATTAAATGTTTAGTGAATATTACATATTTGACTTGTGAAAGATTTAAAGCTTTCTATAAAAAATAAAAATCAGAACCTATCTGTTAGGTTTTGTAACAGTAAATTGAAACAGCATTTTAAAAAGGTATGAAGAGAGGTTTAAATAAGCTCCTTTTAAAAAAATAGGCATTTAAATTAACCATTTCAAATTAAGGCTATGACAAGCCTACATTAATGAATAAAATCACCTTATTATCTATACAAATAATTTAAAAATCCCAAAGAGATTAATGAATCCTCAATTTTAATGAGACATTAAGCCAAGTTTTAGATGCATCATCAAAATAAAAATACCATAGATGACAAATTGTTATAGTCATCACTTTTTAGGTTTTTTTTTTCCCCAAATACAAGCATTGTCTACTCAAATTTGTACTGAAAGCCGTTTCCTGTCTTGTCTTCCTCCATTACTTTTGGTTTCTGTTCAGCTAGCCCATAAAAGAAAACATTTTTCTTAAATGTGAGTTAGTCTATTAAAAACCTAAACACCACAGAGTAGAAGTTTGGTGGGTTTTATTTTTTTTTTTAATCTAGATTTCTAGTAAAATGTACGGTAGACTGAGATTTATTAGTTCAAACCATCTGAGGGACAGGGATTTTTTTAATATAATCACAAAAACAGGTGGCAAAGGGAATTTTTAGAAGTCTCAAGGGGAACCCATGATAAAGATTCACCCTGATTTCACTGCTGAAGTATCACACCAGACACTGCCCAACTTGCTAAATTCTTTCAAAAATTCATGTCCAGAAAGAATCCATTAAATTCTATTCTGCCAAATCATTAAAATTATTTTAAAGAAAAATATCTTTAATACACAGTTCCACACTTAAAATTTTATACTAACACAAAATCTTAAGATTTTGTTGTGTTTTGTTTTTTTTTTAACTCAGAAAATTATTAAAATAAAAATTAAGTTAAGAATAATATATGGCAACAAAAACATCCCACTGGTAACAATGTTCAGGTAACAATCTCTTTTAATATTCTTTAAACAGGTATAAACTACATCTCTACCTAGAAGGGTAAGAGACAAATTTAATGTTAAAGCTACATTTGTTTTCAAATTTTGCATGGAGTCTAAAATGTGACCTGTGACTCTGATACCTTATTTCCAGGTCTAATATTTTTCCTGACATAAAGTAAATGTTACATTCTCCAACACAAAACACTTCAAGAATATTAATTTGATGTTCATAAAAACTATAAAAAAGAGACTGCACTATTGTATCAAAAATTTATTTTTGTTGAGTTTTCTATGGCAGCATTCCAGAAACCCTGGCAGGAACACATTCTTACATCACGATTCCTCAGACAGCTGGTGATACTGCGGCCATAAATGTCTTGAAAACTAGGGCTAAAATTCACACGTGTTGCACTGAGAAGATTCTCATGCTATCTAGTCGGCTACCAGAACCACTGAACAAATGCCTCCTGACATGCGCAGCTTAGAGTAGCAAAACTACACGTTCTCTGAAAAAATTACTTCTGTTCTTTCCCCTGAACAGAAACTTAATAAACAAGTCCATATAACAAGACTTCTCCTGGCACAAGAGGATAACAAGTTAAATATGTTTATCAAATTACTTAAAGGTATCTAAACCTTTAGTAGAAACATAGCCAACTTTCAGTTTAAGTTAGCGGTGCACGTAAGATCACCTACTTCCCTAGAAAGTGCTTGCTGAAAGAATATTTGACAAAATAAATGCAGGCATCAAAAGACTGAAAATGTTCTTTAATATTCTTGAGCACTGCATTTACAATTATGCTACCAACAATGACACATTCTATCTTCATGTTCATACATACTCATATACTTTATCAATACAATGAACAGCACATACATTCCAAAAATTAATACCAAAATATTCTGCACTTCTGGACTTTATAGCTTTACATAAACAACAGCCTTAAGAAGCCAGGCAACTCATAAGTTTGAAAACATCAATATTTAAAGGCTTATGATCCAATTTTACTTCTGCCTTTCTGTACATATGCATTGTGTGTCTTTAGAATTAAAAATAACTTCATATCATTGCCTGTATTCATTTTACACCTCCTCATATGCACAGGACTTCTTACTCATTCAGCAGAATAAATTTTGTTCACTTAAGGAAGCTAGTTACTCTGGATCAGTATGTAAATTCTGTGTCTCATTTACTCTAAATATTCAATACTCTGAAAATGTTTTGTTTTGTTTTACTTTCATGTGAGCTTTTTCTATGCTGTCCATTGTTACAACACTCTACAGAACTACAAAACCTATTTTCAGAAAACCCTAATGAAACACTGGATTTTGCCTTCCTTCTCTGTATGGCAAATGTAAGTTTAATAAGGAAAACATTCCCAACTCTGTGTGTTTTTTGAGGTACATCAAATCTCAAGGTTTTCATGCCTTACTACAGTGCTACTTACACTCAGGGAACTGATTTGTAACTGTGTCAACTACAGCTCTGGGTGTAAAAAACAAACTAAGAGCCTTACTGTTTTGGCAAAGTTAAAACCAAATGCTTACAGTATTTCTGAGAGCATTTTCACTAATCTCTCTTCCTACAGGTGAGAATGAAAATATAACCGCTACAAATCCAGCTTAACTGTTCAATTTTCTGAAGGCTAGAGCTTCCACTTGTTTTTAAAATACGTATAATCATACCCATATCTAACTAATATACTTAACCCACATAATCATACCCCTTTCAGAAAGGCTTAACAAGAGTAGCTTATTGCTACTAATGCAAGTATATTGACAACACTTCACACTAAGGCAGAACATAGTACAAGACAGCGGTTTTAATTTTTAAAAATCATCCATAATTATCAGATACTGGAACAGAAAAGATATTTGTACATGTAAGGGGATGTCATAAGTCTGGAACTCAAGTTATCTGCCTCCACTTTCTAGTATTCTGGAATTACACATGGAAATGTGGAGGTAGCTGAAGCAGTAAATTAAGTCATCCAACAGATGTACAGAAACATAGAATATAAAATAAAACAGAATAGAACAGAATCATTACGGTTGGAAGAGACCTCAAGGATCATGAAGTCCAACCATCAACCCACACCACCTAACTCACTAAACCACGTCCCTGAGCACCACATCTACACGTTTCTTGAACACCTCCAGGGATGGTGACTCCACCACTTCCCTGGGCAGCCTATTCCAATGACTGATCACTCTTTCAGGGAAGAGATTTTTTCTAATATCCAGCCTAAACCCCCCATTGTGCAATCTGAGGCCATTTCCTCTTGTCC